AAACTGCGGGGAACCATGCAAAAAACGCATCTTTGCACGGGCAGCCCGTGCGTTGGCCAATTTTTTGCTGAAGTTTACCAAGAATTTCCGCTAAATAGAAAACCTTATTTGCAGTTCAGCCTACGGCTTTGCTTGCTGAATAAAGTGGAATTGACTCTTTCGCTTTAGATTAAATTAATTTCGTCTGGACTGGAAATTCAGTTGCTGAACAGTAATGGTTTTATCATATTTCAGGTAATGAAGGTGCGGAAACATTGGATTCTCCGCCTGTGTACCCTCAACTTCCTTCAGCAATCAGTCAGCATGGTTCACATGGCAATGAAACTGGCACCGTTAGAGTGGATGGAAAAAACACTAATTCAGATAGCAAAACTCACGAAATGCCAAAAAGTAAATTCAATCGGCAACAAAATCCGCTTCGCAAATTGCTCGATTCTTCTGGTATGTATTTTGTTACCTTAGATTTATCCAGCTCCAACTGATGGAGCAAATCCAAAACCTTCACTGCCTGGCTTCCACCACTTAGAACAGTTTTCCTGGTATTGCAATGCGGAAGTAATTCCAAGACTTCGTACTGGAGTTCCTTGTTTTTCGGCAGCATAACATACATCAGAGATCATCTCGGCTTTTTTAACTGATTCATTACAGAAGAACAACGCAGTTTTTTCGCGTTTCTTTGGCAAGTTTGCATTTCGACGATTTGTGCCTGTTTGTTCAGATGTCTACATGTTTTTCCTATCCGAATGCCGAATACACTTGCAAGAATTTTGAAGCGATACTTCCTTTAAGTAACATAAATTAGAATAAATCTTCTCGCCTAATTTAACTCTGTTCACATTCTGCTTGTAACCCCTTTTCGTCTCAGCTCTAAACAGAAAAGTTTTCAAGCGCTTTTTGTTGCGGAATTCTAGTGAAGAAAGCATCTAGCGGACGGAGCGGTTTTTATTTGCAAACAATTGTGAACCGGTAGGGAATCGTACTCGTCTTCACCCCGGTCATGACCTGCTAGCCACTACACTACAGACCCTTGTGCTTTTCTTAACTGTCGGAGTAATTTGCATTTGTATGTATGCCATGGGCATACGTGCTATTTTACGCTACTTCACGAGTAGCGCACAATTTTCCGTTTTTACTGACTTTTCACGAGTATCCACAAAATGTGTTAACACATCATGCAAATGCTACAGTAACGACGCATTTCTGATGCTTTATGCAAACCTGTAAATTATAATTTGAGGAGCGGAAACGATCCGACAAAATCGTCGCCTCGCACGAGATGAGCACGACTGGTTAGCTGCTGTGGTCGAGCGTTCTTTTTTTATCGTTTTCCTTTTGATGTATACGTTTGTTACCGTTGGCATCAGCGCCATTGGTTTCTATTACTGGTCGTCCGTTGATTACATCACCAATCACTACAAGCAATGAGTTTATGCATTATTTGACCAAGACGCGATTAGATTATACTTTTTTAGAGCAATTGCTAGCTCTCATACCAGTTGCTTTGAGAACAGGACTTCCTCAAAATATTTTGATTTAATAAAACATTATTTTTACTAATTTTTCTCAACTTTGCTTCATGTATCATCATATCACGTAGCGAAAAGAAGATTTGCGGCTTATGCGTTGGAGAAGAAGCAATAAACACAGCTTTAATTTTTGCAGCTCTTTGTTGTTGGATGAATCAGTTTTGTAATTTTTTTAATCTACTTTATTTTTTCTGTTATTTTTACTTGAAATCGATCGTATCCAGCTGAATCCTGCATGCCACAGCAATTGAAATGAGAGTAAACTGAATCAAGAAGTCAAATAGTATATGTTCAGCTCAGCGCAATCTTCCTAAAAAACGACCAATTTTTTGAAAACACTTCGTGAAAGCAATGAAATACAGACTTGAAACGTCACTGTTTGGGTAGATGGTTTTTCTAAAATTTGAAAATGTTTTCTTTCGCAGGTTTTATGTATATTTTTGCTTGAAAATTTAATTATTTTCCGGCACACTATAGTAAAATATCAACTAAATAAAGCTATTGGTTGAACTGCGTTAAATTGCAACTTTCGAGTTTGAGTGCTGTTACAGCTCTACTTGTTTGTTTTGCTTTTTCTTGTCCTTTAAAATGCTCCTAGTTATGTTACTGAGTTGGGAAGAGAAGTCTTCATTATTGTGTGTTTTTGCTGTACATCGGAATGTTAGTTATATCTACGTTTAATACGCTAATGGTTAAACTTTGGCTAGAAGCTGAAGAAGTAGAATTTTTTAGGACGCAAATTATTCACATTCTCCAATGATGCCTACTTGGAGCAATACAAATAGGTTGCTTTTGTTTATTTCAAAGAAATTTTTTTCGATCGGTTTTGTGAATTAAATATTACATGAGCATTTCCAAAGCCCTAGTTAATGGCGCTTAAAATTATCAAGCAAGCGTGATTCTTTTAAGATCAGTAATTTCTGCATTAATTACTTATCCCTCATCAAAAAAAAAGCGGAAGTTTTTTTGTTAGCCTAAAAGTATTGGCATCAGTGCAGTGGCTTTGGTCAGGAGGCTGAATTAATTTCTTTTCCAAAATGCTTTGT